TTTTCCTGGACTGCATTTCAAATTGACTCAGGAACTGTTTATTGCATGGAGTTACAACAGGATTTTGTCCATGAAGTTCTCTTTTAGGCAACAAATCCATTAACTTTTTTGAGGATGCTTCAGATCCAACACCAACAAGGGCAAATCTAAAGAGTTTTAAAGTAGTGAGAACAGAAAGTGAAGAGGGATTAATAATGCTTTAAAAAAAGCAAATAGTCTTAATTTATGTCTATTTAGCAATATATGAAAATACTTCTTAAAGTTCACACTTTTATCTTTACCCTTTTTTAACAAGTACAATTTCAGTGGTTTCACCTCCAAAATAAACTGTTCCCATTTCCTACCATCCTTCAACCTTAGAGAACACTACTAATCTACTTCTTGTCTCTGGATTTTCCTGTTCTGGAGATTTCATATACATGAAATCATAATTATGTGGTCTTTCATATCTGACTTCTTTCACTTAGCATGAAGAAGTTATTTAAGGTTCATTCATAGCACTTTATTTCTCTTAGCTGTCAAATATTATATGCTATGGAAACACCATGTTCATTCCATTTATCTGTTGATGGACTTCTAGGCTTGCTTCTACTTTTTGGCTATTATGAATAATGCTACTATAAAAATTAATGGCGAAGTTTTCTATGTTTTCCTCTTGGGTAAGATTAGAATTATGGATCACAAAGTAACTATGTTTACTACTTTTGAAGAATTTCTAAATTGTTTTACAAATTGACTACACCATTTTACATTCTCAACAGCAATGTATGAGGGTTTCAGTTCCCCATATAGTTTGTTAATAGGGTCCTCTGAAATACAAGACATTCAGTTTATAGATTTTTTTCTTTTGTTGTTTGTGCTTTGAGTGTCATATCTAAAAAGTCACTGCTTAATTCAAGCCAGAATGAAATATATCCAAATAACAGAAGCTGACCTCCTACTAGCCAAGGCTTAAAAATTTTACCCAAGCTACTTATATCTCTGGAGTCCTGGTGAGGTGCTGTGGGCTAATGCGTCAGACTGCAAAGCCATTTGAACTGCAAGCTCACTAGCTGCTCTTTGGAAACCCTATACAGGGTTTGCTCTGGATCGGAACTGACTCGACGGCACTTCACAACAACTTATATCTCTATCGTTTCATAGTACAATAAACACAGCACATAATCCTGTACAACTAGTGATATACTAGGGGTTAACGAGGAGTCCTGGTGTGGCGCTGTAGTATAAGCATGAGCTGCTAACCTCAACCTTGATGGTTCAAACCCATCAGGCGATCCTTAAAAACCCTATATGCAACTCTGTAGCACTTAACAAGAGATTAATGAGTGAGCAGAGAGGGCCCCCTCCTATCCACACATATTAAAGTCTCAGAATGCTATGCTTGTTAAGGTATATAAGGAACATAATTTCCCATCTCCTCTGATAGGCTACAGATGATGCTAAATGCTGTGCAGTTGGTTCTGACCCATGGAGACTGCAACCCTGTAGAGAGTTTCTAAAGAGTTGCTGGTGAGCTTGAATCACCGACCTTGCGGTTCAAACCTGCAGAGCTACACCAGGGCCTTGCAATTACTTTCTGCTTAGGGTGTTATTTATAAGACAGAAAACTAAAAGAACTGATATATAATTACATCCATAACAAGAACCCAGGATAGTTTCTTTTCTGAGTCATACCAAGTAGAATAGCTAATAAAAAGAACAATTACTAAAGAACTCATAAATAACTTACTTCTTTGTTGTTGTTAAGTGCCGTCGAGTCGGTTCCGACTCATAGCGACCCTGTACAGGGTTTCCGAGGGTGTAAATCTTTACGGGAGTAGAAAGCCTCATCTTTCTCCCGCGGAGCGGCTGGTAGTTTCGAACCGCTGACCTTAAGGTTCGCAGCCCGATTCGTAACCACTACGCTACCAGAGCTCCTTTATGCAAGCAAATTATTTAAAAATTTTGCAGAAGTTAAACTGAATGTTACTGAAGAAATCATACAGACCCTAATGACTATGGTTGATAAATGGCAGCCCTAATTATAAAGATCTACAACCTATGTAAACAAATGTCACTGCTATAAAATTTTTTTGCCACAAAACAAAATCCCAATCTATTTATATTCTCTGGTGGAACTTCACTAAAATTTTGAAAGGAGTCTATGTCAATACCAGAAAGATAACAAATAGCAAATTCAGTCAGTTTAATCAAACCAAAGATTCAAAAACCTTCAAAATTAGGAAGAAACCTCCCCCAAATGGCAACCATTTCTTATTAGACTTGATTTGCTACACTGTGAAAACTAGAAATATTCACAGATTACCAGCTGCTATCTTTTCCAAAATCTTACCAGGTAAGAAGCATCTTCTACTTTAAGAGAGTAAGTTATAATTTATCAATATTTTTCTGCAAAGAGAAGCCTCTGATCTCAACATCTTTAATCCTCTTCAGGTACAAATTTTCCAAGTGTTACTTGAATACATAATTGCCATACAAACACATTTACAATAAAAACAAATTAAGATGATAATTTCTGGTTAGCTTCCTTACATTAAGTAGAATCAAGAAATTGTTGTTTAGCGCTGTTGAGTCGTTTCCAACTCACAGTGACTGTGTAGTTTTTTTTCAAGGAGTGGCTGGTAAGTTTGAACCACAGAACTTGCAGTTCAAACCAACCTAAAAGTCCAAGGCATTAACCCGCAGCACCACACCAGGATTCCAGAATCAAGCATTAAGAGATGCCAACTGTATCACATAGCTATTTCATATAGAAAGTGAAATTAAGAGTCATCTTCCCATAGATATTGTCTACAAATGGTTTATAATCGACTACTAATCTAAGGAACCCCTAGTAGAGCAACTGTTAAAGAATTTAAACTGCTAACCAAAAAGGTTGGTAGTTCGATATCTAGTAGCTGCTGCAAGAAAGCTGTGGCAGTCTGCTCCAATAACATTTTAGTCTTGGGAACCCTACAGGACAATTCTATTGGGTCATTGTAAATTAGAACTGATTCAATGACAGTGGGTTTTTTTTGTTTGTTTGAAAGTAGACTAATGTGGCTCAACCAGTGTTACAAAGGGAAAGAATGGCAGGGTATAAGGTCAAAGAGGTGGTATGGAAATAGATCATCCTGTGCCTTATCAGCTATAGTGTAGACTCTTTTACTACGTGAAATAGGAAGCTATTAGATTTGGGGCAGGAGTCCTGGTGTAGCGCTGTGGGCTAATGTGTCAGACTGCAAAGCCGTTTGACCTGCAAGGTCTATGGTTCAAGTTCAAGTTCACCAGCTGCTCCTTGGAAACTCTATACAGGGTTGCTATGGGTCGGAATTGACTCAATGGCACTTAACTACAACAAAGTACAAAATGCCACATTTACAAAAATCAAGTGTTACTATGTGGAATATGACTGTAAGGAGTTAGGGTGAAACCAGGAGGCTACTGCAAAGTTAAGAGAGGATCTGGTAGAAGTGGTGATGGTGGTTGTGTGCCACCTTGTTGGTTCTGACTCATAGTGACCTTGTTTAGGGTTTCTGAGACTGTAAATCTTTACGGGAGCAGAAAGACTCATCTTCCTTCCTTGGAGGAGGAGCTGGTAGATTCGAACTGCTGATTTTTAGATTAGCAGCCCAGCTCGTAATCCACTATGCTACCAGAGTTCCTTGGTGGTAGAAGTAGAAGGTGAGAAGTCAGAGTTTGCATATATTTTATAAATATTCTTAGCTTCTTTTTGTTTAGTGCCATCAAATTAGTTCCAACTCATAGCGACCCTGTATAGGGTTTCCGTGGAGCAGCTGGTGAGGGTGAACAGCTGACCTTGCGGTTCAACCTGACCTTGCAGTCCAATGCATTAATTCGCAGTACCACACCAGGACTCCACTCTTACCTTAGTATAGGAATATTTTCTTAGCTAGGAACCACCTTTTTGGAGGACTGAAGCACATCCTTTACTTCAGCATTCTGTTTCTAACAATTTATCTTCAAAAATAAAATCCAAAAATCTGCAACTAAAGACTTATATAAAATGATGTCTGCTGTATTATTTGTTAATAGAAAAAAATTGAAAATAATGTAGAAAACTAGTAACTACAAAAAAAATTACAGTATGTTGAAAAGAATCAAGACATTAGAGTATGTGTACAAGGAGAAGTGAAAAAGCACTGCTAAAAACGGAGAGCTTAAATGTGCATCAATGAAAGAAAGGATATGCAAATTCTGGTACACACTATGCAACGTTGAAGAGTAATGATGAATCCGCTAAACACCTAAAATGGATGAACCTGGAGGACATTATGGTGAATGAAATTAGTTAACCACAAAAGCACACATATTGTATGAGACCACTATTGTAAATACTAAAAAAAAAAAAAAAAAAAAAATTATCATACTAAAAGAAACATTACTTGATGTTTATCAGGGGTGGAAGGAAGAGTAATTCGCTGGCTAGAGGGTATACACATGTTAACTCAGATGATGGGAGGAATATATATAAAAAGTGGAAGGATACTAGACAAGGAGAGGAAGACTGGCAGGCGAATTATGTAGACAGGCGAAGACATGGGGAGGTATGTAAGCAATAAATGAGATAGAGGTAAATAGTGATATACAAACAACCTTGGAACAACAGTGCTCTGTGGGAAGATACAAGGACAGGGATCAGGCTGAATGGGTATGGGAGGAAGAGTGGAGTATATCCATAAATGTATGAGGTTGAAGGAGGATATTTGTTGTGCTGCAAACACAACTATGAATATGGTTGAGCATTGTTGTTGTTGTTATGTGCCATCGAGTCAGTTCCGACCCATAGGTTGAGCATATAGCAGGCAAAATAACAAAAAGTTCCTAGTATTACTGAACATAAAGCTATGAGTTGCATGAGGGCTCAGAACCAGTCTCAAGAGGGGCACCCTGGTTAACTGGCATAACATAATCTACAAAGATAATGATCTCATCCTACTTTGGTGAGTAGCAATGGAATCTTAAAAGCTCATGGGTGGCCATCTAAGTTCCAACTATTCATCTCTCCATGTGTAGAAGAAGAGTGATGAGAATTGAAGATAATCTGTAAATCAAAAGTCCAATAATGAAAAACATCAACTTCAATCTCCACAATTCTGAGACTAAAAGAACTAGCTGGTGCCCGGCTACCACTACTAATTGCTCTGAAAAGATCCTGGATAGCATGGGAGAAAATGTTCAACAAAACTCAAATTAAAAAAAGAAAAAAGACAGGCTTACTGGTCAGAAAGAGATTGGAGGAATCTGAGGCTATGGTTCTTGTTCGTCCTTCAGGTCTGGAAAGGAACTCACCCTTGTGGCCCAAATTTCAGACAACCAGTAGATAGGTATATATGGGAAACAACAATACTAGTAAGGTATGCTCACCACAGATGGGAAGGTAGATGGAATGAAAACAGAAACCATAGGGAGGAAGTGGGATAAATGGTGTTCAATGTAGGGAACTGCAATAATTGAGATGAAAGGAAGTGTATGATTTGGTGAATGTAAAACCGATCATCTGTGTCTGTACACCTTCACTCAATTCACACAAAAAAAGCTTTAAAAAAAAAAAAGTATTGCTGCTGGGGTTCCATTTAATACATGTACAGGTTTCTTCCAAACAAGTTTCAAATATGTCTCTGCAATTAATGAATGACTGCAGACAAGATTATCAGTAACATATGTTTTACGTTTTGTTACGGTGCCTTTAAAAGAGAGTCCAATCAAAACAGTAGCTTCTGAGGGGATCTGCTGGGCCAGTTAAATTCTAAGCAGAAAGGTCAGCACAGAAGGTTATGGTGACTATTTTTTGGAATTTCAAAGAGGTAATCTTTATAGATTTTTCTTGAATCTGTAGATGATCACAGGGACTTATTAGGAAGAGGTTTTAAGAAAAATTAAACATCGCATTGGTGAGAAAAAAGACAGGAAAGCTGTGAAGCATTTTTTTCTATCACACAACTACCTATTCTTCAAGTGTAACAAGGGCTAGCCTATAAGAATTTTGTTTGGAAAAATTACCCCATCCACCCTACAGCTCTAATCTTGTCCCTTCAGATTTCTTTTTGTTCCTCAAACTTAAAAGGAACACAATTTAAATCCCTCAAGAATGCCAAAACTGTCATTTTGGCATGGTACAAATTGAAGAGCAGAGCTCTTCAGGGAAAGGATAGAAAGATGGAAACATTGCCTTCAGAAGTGTATAGTTCAGGGGGTTTGGGGCAGGAAAACTTATTCATAGGCTAGAGGATATTCACATGTTACCATAGGTGACAGGCAATAAACAACAAGAGGGAGGTTGGCAGAAGAAAGACATCAGGAGATAGGGAGAAATGCAAAAGTTAAAAGTGAATAGAGATAAATACTATTAACTGATGGTTCATGGAGAAGACTGTAATCATTGTAATGAAGCAAATTATATGATTTGTTGAATGTTAAACTGGTAATCTGTTCTATATACCTCTGCTCAATTCACAATAAAACTTGTTAAAACAAGAAAAGTTGACCTAGATGGAGCATATGTCAAGAAATAGCTTTACATTTTGATTTTTGTTTAGTAAAGCTTCTATGATTTTGTAGAAATGCTTACTCTTATACTTAATGATAAAAATTGGTTCTATTTATTGTAAACATGTTACAAACCATGTGAGGTATAATCCTAATTTTTATGAAGAAAACTAAGATATATGCACTAAGAAAATAATCTGAAGATTACTCACTAAAATGGCAAGAGTTATTATAATTTTTGGATGGTGAGATTATGAATTTTTTTTCTTCCTTTTGGTTATCTATGTTGTTATTAGGTGCCATCAAGTCAGTAGTGACCCTATGTACAACAGAATGAAACACTGCTATCTATAATGATCCCATAATAAACTTATTTCCCTTATACAGTTTAATATAAAGCAAAATGTCTTCATTGTTCACATTGTTGTCCATCTTTCTCAACCTCTTAATCACAGGAATAGTATTGCTTCTGTTAAAACTGTCATTCCAATAATCACCTCAACCATAAACCAAAAATCTCATTGCCATCAAGTTAATTTCAACTCAGTGAACCTGTAGGGCTGAGAAGAACTGCTCCTTAGGGTTTCTGAAGATGGCAAATATTTATAGAAGATAGCTTCATTTTTTTCCAATAGGGTGTGGGTGTATAGTGGGCTCAAACCACCGACCTTCTGTTTAGCAGATGAATAATTTTAGCCACTATATCACTTACTAACTTTATTAGGAACAAAAACAAAAAAAAACTTACCCTTTTGACTGGCCATTTGCACGGTTTTCAAAAAATTTTATCTCTAAAATATCATTTACTCCCAAAGAATGAACTGCTTCAGTTAAGTCTTCATCTGTTGTCC